TAGAGAGTCTTATAGTTACTAGATTTCCAATTTAGAAGTGAGGTGAGGTAGTAGGGGAGTTTCTGGAAAAGTGCTTTATATCTGAATAATAGCCAATGTTGGCCCCTTCTGGTAATCAGAGACTCCCAGCCAACTATGTAAGAGACAATGATGCTTATGGAAATTATCACCAGTGATAAAACGCAAGGCTGAGTATATAGCCACAGAACTTAGAAGTCCACACTTGTTAAACAGTCCTCAAAAGCAGCTAGCCTATAATGACGCTAGCAGAGGGTTTATAATATGGAGGTGCTATAGAAGTTTTCAAATAGCCTAGACCCTCTTGACCTAGAAGTGAAAAACGATTCCTGCTTTACCACATCTAGACCAATCCCAACCGCAGGGATCACTCAGTTATTATCATTCTGTTATCTCCCAAATTACAGGCCGGGAGCAGGGCCTGGGGAATTGTCCACAGACTGAGCCAGTTACACCTGTTGCAGGGTTAAACAAACTAGGCTAACTAAGCCTTAAGATATTATGACTATGATTATAAAAGTCTTAGAGTTGTTCGTAAAGCTGGTTATTAGTACAGTAGGTAGAATATCTATGCACACTACACAGTGGACCAAGCCTATCAAATCAGGCATTCACTACCCATATGTTTTGCATGCCCTATAAGGCCTAAGTATGAACCTAGCTCTGGTCCAGGGTGTTATGTGTGGCTTACTGACGCTCACCCGCACGTAAAGCCCTGGACCAGAGCTACTATGAACCATACAGGGTGTAAAATAAAAGCCAGAAGGTAGTAACAGGTTAGGCTACTCAAAATGCCACTTCCATTAGGTCTTGGGCTAATCAGGAACACAGAATAGCTTCTAACATGTTTATTTTCTTAGGCCTTTAATGCCCATAAACACTTGCCAGTATTTCAGTCCAAATAAGCACTGTTGAAGCTCCTCGTCCCAATGACAGAGCAGGAAACTGCCCGGAAAAAGCTGCTTCTTTAGGAGCTGCAGGAGGGAGGGCACTGAGGGGAAGGGGGAACTTTGAGGGAAGCCACATGGGGATGTCGACTAGCTTCCTCATTACAATCACAACTGACCAAACTACTACCCTAACAACGGGCCCCTGGAAAAAAAAAAATAGGGCACTATTTAGTGTTTATTGGCATAATCAAGGTCAGCTGTGTTTGTGTAATCGCAGAAAAGCTGGCAAACATAGCCACCTGGCCTGTGGTTTTGACAATGCAAGTCTATCTTCTCGTAATAGAAGTAAGGCCCTACGTGAACTGTGAAGCTGCAGTGTTACTGACAATGAATCATCTTTGAAGGGTGTTTTGCTAATGTGTCATCAGTATTTGTGAGAAAGCCCATTGTGATTTGTCTGCACTTTCCAGCATAGTTAAAGGTCAAAATGACGTATCTTCCCGTTTATCCCCTTCCATAATCAATTTCATGACTGTACCACTGAGTGTGTGTACGAGTTTACACAATACAGACCAACTGTTCGAATGTGAATTAATTAATTCGTTTAAAAACACTTGTCAGTGTCATGTAAGGAAAACACTAATTGGCAAATGAGACAGCACATTGATGAACAATTTCAATTGAAAAACTGTTACCCAGCTGTTGTATCATTGCGTTTCAAAACAAAGGAGAATCCAGTAGAAAACACCCTCGTGAAATCATTTCGCTATATTTGGAACAAATGTGTACTTTCAGGAAATGTGCTACCCTGATTCCAGTTAGCTTAGCGAACTGTAATCCACAGTTTATCTAGCTAGTTTATACCATCAATGATCTGGATATTCAGAATCAATTCACTCAAACAACAACAACAACAGTTTGATAGTACAGATTGTAGGGAAAGGTTTAAAGTTATTTTCCCAAACAATAATACTTTATTTTTATACATGGGTTAGCCGCGAACCGATATATTTATAAACGTTCTATGTGTAGCTGGCCGATGATGCTACAGCTAGGTGGCTAGCTAGCTTAGCTCGCCACTGGTGCTTCTGAATGCCGTACAATAACAAATGTAAGTCAACATTCAAACCTTACATTATGACTTTATAAAACCTGATTAAACAGCATCCATAGCTGGTAACTTACCAATGCACTGGCCCACAGGAGTGCTGTACGGATTGCCCAGTAAGAACTCCATCTTTATGACAACAAACAATACGCACCGAATGACAGCGGCTGGAAGAGAGGCGCATTATCTGCAAGTCCCTCCCACTGAGCAACCACATTGGAAGATACAACTGAGATATCAATCTGTATGGCTGTGTTTATTGTCGATCAAAATTAGCAGCTATTCAGGGTATGTTCACCACCAACACTAGAGATAGCTATCTATGCACAAGATCCAAGCTGGATGTGATCGATTTTAACGTTATTGTTCATGTTATTTAATATAAAAAAATAAAGTATTATTGTTTGGGAAAATTACTTTAAACCTTTCCCTACAATCTGTACTATCAAACTATTGTTGTTGTTTGAGTGAATTGATTCTGAATATCCAGATCATTTCTAACGTACTGCACTTGATGGGATAAACTAGCTAGATAAACTGTGGATTACATGGCATCATTCAGGAAATCCTGACCAATACGGCTCTGATCCTGACTAAAAGAGATTCTAATAATTGTAATTAAGTACATAATATTCACAAAGAAACCTCACAGTAATGCTTTATGCTTACATTGGTTTGCATAGTGCATAGTGCATATCGCAACTGTATCCTCTGTGAAACTGTTTAAAACTGTTCAGCTATAAACATTTCGGTGTTGAATGTAGCCTAGTTCTGCTGCCTAGTTGCTAAGCAACAGTATACATATTCGAGCAGCAGACGTGGGTTTGAAAAGTACAAGGCTGATAACATACATTTATTTTCAAATTACTTTGTTGTTTGGTTTTCTTGTGGTCTCTCAAAACAGCAGCTTGTGAGAGAAAGCAATCTGATACCTTTTTCATTTAGCAGAAATTAGGTCACTCAGCTCTGGCTTAGTTGTTGTGCTGCTGCTGAAGAAGTGCTAGCTGGCTAGGTACTGTAGCTACATAAACTTTTGTTTACAAGAGCCATAGCTAGCTACTGTAGCTAACGTTAGCGAGTTAACCTAACATAAATGCATTAGATACAGTTTGTGTTTATTTGTTATTGCAAAACAGCCACTCAACTCTACAAAGCTACCTGGCAGGATTGTGATGACACTGAGACTCCCTGTTTATCAATCAGAATAACCTTTGTTTAAACCTACAACCACCGTCAGACAGTGGCATTGAATCAATCAATCAATTTTATTTTATATAGCCCTTCTTACATCAGCTAATATCTCGAAGTGCTGTACAGAAACCCAGCCTAAAACCCCAAACAGCTAGTAATGCAGGTGTAGAAGCACGGTGGCTAGGAAAAACTCCCTAGAAAGGCGAAAACCTAGGAAGAAACCTAGAGAGGAACCAGGCTATGAGGGGTGGCCAGTCCTCTTCTGGCTGTGCCGGGTGGAGATTATAACAGAACCATGCCAAGATGTTCAAAAATGTTCATAAGTGACAAGCATGGTCAAATAATAATCAGGAATAAATCTCAGTTGGCTTTTCATAGCCGATCATTAAGAGTTGAAAACAGCAGGTCTGGGACAGGTAGGGGTTCCATAACCGCAGGCAGAACAGTTGAAACTGGAATAGCAGCAAGGCCAGGCGGACTGGGGACAGCAAGGAGTCACCACGGCCGGTAGTCCCGACGTATGGTCCTAGGGCTCAGGTCTCTCAGTTGGCTTTTCATAGCCGATCATTAAGAGTTGAAAACAGCAGGTCTGGGACAGGTAGGGGTTTCGTAGCCGCAGGCAGAACAGTTGAAACTGGAATAGCAGCAAGGCCAGGCGGACTGGGGACAGCAAGGTGTCATCATGCCCGGTAGTCCTGACGTATGGTCCTAGGGCTCAGGTTCTCAGAGAGAAAGAGAGAACGAGAGAATTAGAGAGAGCATACTTAAATTCACACAGGACACTGGATAAGACAGGAGAAGTACTCCAGGTATAACCAACTAACCCCAGCCCCCCGACACATAAACTACTGCAGCATAAATACTGGAGGCTGAGACAGGAGCGGTCCGGAGACACTGTGGCCCCATCCGAAGAAACCCCCGGACAGGGCCAAACAGGAAGGATATAACCCCACCCACTCCGCCAAAGCACAGCCCCCGCACCACTAGAGGGATATCCCCAACCACCAACTTACAATCCTGAGACAAGGCCGAGTATAGCCCACAGAGGTCTCCACCACAGCACAAACCAAGGGGGGGGCGCCAACCCAGACAGGAAGATCACGTCAGTAACTCAACCCACTCAAGTGACGCACCCCTCCCAGGGACGGCATGAAAGAGCACCAGCAAGCCAGTGACTCAGCCCCTGCAACAGGGTTAGAGGCAGAGAACCCCAGTGGAGAGGGGAACCGGCCTGGCAGAGACAGCAAGGGCTGTTCGTTGCTCCAGCCTTTCCGTTCACCTTCACACTCCTGGGCCAGACTACACTCAATCATATGACCTACTGAAGAGATAAGTCTTCAGTAAAGACTTAAAGGTTGAGACCGAGTCTGCGTCTCTCACATGGGTAGGCAGACTGTTCCATAAAAATGGAGATCTATAGGAGAAAGCCCTGCCTCCCGCTGTTTGCTTAGAAATTCTAGGGACAATTAGGAGGCCTGCGTCTTGTGACCGTAGCGTACGTATTGGTATGTACGGCAGGACCAACTCGGAAAGATAGGTAGGAGCAAGCCCATGTAACGCTTTATAGGTTAACAGTAAAACCTTGAAATCAGCCCTTGCCTTAACAGGAAGCCAGTGTAGGGAAGCTAGCACTGGAGTAATATGATCAAATTTCTTGGTTCTAGTCAGGATTCTAGCAGCCGTATTTAGCACTAACTGAAGTTTATTGAATGCAGCATTTGATATTGACCTGCCCTTCTCTCCACAGTAACAGTCCAGGGTAGAGAGTCAGGGGATCCAGAGACATTAGCAGGATGAGGAGGCTATATGATACCGCGGAGCCCAGTTTGGTGGATGAGGAGCTGCTGCAGAAGGCAGTGGAGGAGCAAGGCCCTCAAGACCAGGCTGGGCGGATTGCCAAGGAGGAGGGCATCCAGTATGATGAAGTCTGCCAATTGCGCCTAGACTACAGGAGTAAGACATTTGACAGATGTTGATGTTCTTCAATCATCTGCATACTTTTTGGTGCAGGCATGTCATGTCCGTTGTCCACAGAGAGAAGGGCAATAGTTGCAGTAGAAATAGATTTTATTCCTTACTTTGTCCATATTATTTGACATTTCTGTCCATAGACATCCTGTGGCAGTTCACGTCTCTGACCAAGCTACAACTGGACAATAACATCATTGAGAAGATTGAAGGACTGGTGCGCCTCACTAATCTGAAGTGACTAGGTATGAAAGGCGTCTCTCACAGTCCCTGAATATGTTCCACATACAGTAAATATAATGAATGTATGTGTTAAACTGTATATAGCTAGATCAAGATGACTATATTGTTTTTCACTAAAAGACAAGCCCTTCACTGATACAAGGCAACTATGGCCTAATGATCAATATTCTCTTTTCTCTCTTTTCTCTCTCTCTCTCTCTCTCTCTCTCTCTCTCTCTCTCTCTCTCTCTCTCTCTCTCTCTCTCTCTCTCTCCTCTTCTCCTCTAGATTTGTCCTTCAATAACATTGAGGGGATCGAGGGGTTGGATTCTCTGGTGAAGCTGGAAGACTTGAGTCTGTACAACAACAGAATCTCTGTCATTGAGAACATGGACACACTCCTAAACCTACACGTTCTCTCTATTGGGAACAACTTCCTGGCTCAGTTGGAAAAATTGAGTAACTCTCAAACATTTATTGTTTATGTTTCAAATTCTGAATGTAAACTCTCAAATTGTATACTGTAGTATATTAGTGCCAAAATATACAGTACCAGTCAAAAGTTTGGAGACACCTACTCATTCAAGGGTTTTTCTTTATTTTTACTATTTTCTACATTGTAGAATAATAGTGAATATATCAAAACTATTAAATAACACATATGGAATCATGTAGTAACCAAAAAAGTGTTAAACAAATCTAAATATATTTTATATTTGAGATTCTTCAAATAGCCAACCTTTGCCTTGATGACAGCTTTGCATTCTCTCAACCAGCTTCACCTGGCCAGGTCATCTGATGCAGCACTCCATCACTCTCCTTTTTGGTCAAATAGCCCTTACACAGCCTGGAGGTGTGTTGGGTCATTGTCCTGTTGAAAAACAAATGATAGTCCCACTAAGTCCAAACCAGATAGGATGGCGTATCGCTGCAGAATGCTGTGGTAGCCATGCTGGTTAAGTGTGCCTTGAATTCTAAATAAATCACAGACAGTGTCACCAGCAAAGCACCCCCACACCATAACCCCTCCTCCTCCATGCTTTACGGTGGGAACTACACATGCGGAGATCATCCGTTCACACACACCGCGTCTCACAAAGACACGGCGGACACATTTCCACCAGTCTAATGTCCATTGCTCGTGTTTCTTGGCCCAAGCAGGTCTCTTCTTCTTATTGGTGTCCTTTAGTAGTGGTTTCTTTGCAGCAATTTGACCATGAAGGCCTGATTCACACAGTCCCCTCTGAACAGTTGATGTTGAGATGTGTCTGTGACTTGAACTCTGTGAAGCATTTATTTGGGCTGCAATTTCTGAGGCTGGTAACTCTAATGATGAACTTATCCTCTGCAGCAGAGGTTACTCTGGGTCTACCATTCCTGTGGCAGTTTCATCATAGCACTTGATGTTTTTTGCGACTGCACTTGAAGAAACTTTCAAAGTTCTTGAAATGTTCCGTATTGACTGACCTTCATGTCTTAAAGTAATGATGGACTGTCATTTCTCTTTGCTTATTTGAGCTGTTCTTGCCATAATATGGACTTGGTCTTTGATAGATTAATTTGTATTTTAAGAATAATGACTAAAGGATTTCACCCCAAATACAGTATAAATGTGTGAACGGTGTTAGAGTTATAATGTAGTGTCAACCCACTAACAGAGGGGGTGGAGTTAGAAACTGCTGAGAAAGCATTCCAGGGTGAAGGGGACTGAGAAGCTGTTTAAAGGTGGGCGGAGCAAAGTGCCTTTGTGTGTCAAGGGATATAAAAGCTGTATGTATGTTTTTTGGCGCCAGAGCTCTCCATGATTAAAACATACAGATCATTCTTGTTGGTTACGGACCTCAGTTTAATTCATGATTAAACCAGAGCCTTACACTCTCTGGGAATTATTCAAAGGATTAAGTTTGATTAATTAGAGATAGAAATTCTCGTGACAAATGGTCCTTCGAGCGGAGCTCAAAATACGTCTTTATCGTTCTGAGGACACCGAAAACCGTGCACGGGCGGATGATAGCATCCGTATAGAATAGACCTGGCCTTCGACGTTAAGGTTATAAACAGGCCGGTGATGAATCTTATGAACGATAAAGACGTTGACGAGATCTGGAAAAGCATTTAAATCCCAACTTCAAGGAGGAGGTCAGTCATTTTTATTCATGGATTTTGGTGTAATTATTTGAACTTGTATGAGAATAGTAATTCTTGTGAAGGGCAGATAATAGTTACCAAAATCTCATAGGATAATTAAAAGGAAGGAAGGAGGGTCCGAAAATGACTCTAGGTAAATGGCCATTACCAAAATAAACTAGTTAATATTGAGATTGTACGAGATACAGTCTTTACAATATAAACAGGAAGGGAGATAATTATCAGCGTGTGAGATAGATACATTAAACAAGTCAAGAGTCATAAACAACTGGGGATTTGCTCTAACTCTGTGTATTTCATGAAACTGGAGCAGTTACGACCTCTAGGTTACGGATAGTGTTAGCAAAAAATCGTATAAGGTTGTATACGTGTGAGACCTAATGATCCATCGAAATACATGATAATTGTTTCAAGGAAGGGACTAAAATAGGTCGCGTGAGAAAAAAAATGGTTGTCCCATCCCTTTCATGAAACTGGGGTTTTAAAAAACTCTGGGTTACGGGTTGGATAATTTAAATGGTTAATTACAAAAGCAGATCATAAACATTGGCTCAAGAGTCGCACCAGATAATAAGTCCCAAGGAAAATAATTCTGGATTGAATTATTACTAAACGGGGGGATTTCTTATTTTTCTACCATGGGAAATAAATATGATTAGGTAGATGCATGTAAATTGCGGAACGGATTTGAAGAAACAGCGAGGGGAGGGGCTAGACACAGCGATAGTATGGCTTTTGGAGAGTCAGGAAAGACTAAATTAGATAGCTATAATAAATCAGGGAGGCAGAATAGGGGAGGAGGTAAGAGGAAGTGCTTTAACTGTAACAAGGAGGGTCATTTGGCCAGAGAGTGTAAGGCCCCGTGTAAATACTGTAACAAAACAGGTCATAACCATCGCGACTGCAGAAATAAAGGAAAGGGCAGTGTCTGGGAAATGACAGTCTATTTTTTGGTTCCACGGGTAAAATGTTTGAAGAAGTGATTTGTGTCGATTAAGAATTGGCTAAAAACACCACGAAGCGATTATTTGAGAGGTACCTATACATTTCTAACAACATATACGTATGAACTTTCTCACCCAAACGTAGACGTACGTCATGGGTGAGAATATTTACATTTGCGGTCATTTAGCAGACGCTCTTGTCCAGAGCAACTTGCAGGAGCAATTGGGGTTGGGTGCCTTGCTCGGGGGCACATCGGCAGATTTTTCACCTGGTCGGCTCAGTGATTGGAACCGGCGACCTCTCGGTTGCTGGCACGGTGCTCTTGGTTACTGGGCTACCTGCCGCCCCATATGAGTTTAAGGTTGTGCCGTTGTTTGATTATGTGATAAGGTTTAATGGGTAATCGGACCATAACTAATGTGGTTATAGAAGTAATGTATAATATAGTGGAGAGCCAATAGAGGGTTCCATTTAACTATTATGGTTTATTGGGCATTTCAATGGCATAAGGTGAAATCTGTATGTATGAGTGAATTCAACGGCTGGTATGGGTGGTAACCGGATACAACTGAGTATTTGGTTTGGTGATGTTGAATGGAAGATTTGTAGCGTGGTTGGGGTTAAATAAAAAGACTCACTTATTCAATAGGGAATGGGTGTAGGGAGAGAGAGTTTTTGTGTTGCTGAATGAGGTGAGAGCTAGTGTGGTTTTCATTTGGTGACGTCACTTGCTCTATGAACTGAAAGTAGTTGCTTTGAAAGAATCGTTGTAGAGTGACTGGCGATGTATGTAGAGGGTCCCTGGTTCGAACCCAGGTAGGGACAGTGGGTAAAGCTTTCGCATTGGGGCTATGGACCTAGATTACTACGTGGATTGAGAAATGTGAAAAGTTGAACTAAATCAAATCAAATCAAATTGTATTGGCCACATGCGCCGAATACAACAGGTGCAGACATTACAGTGAAATGCTTACTTACAGCCCTTAACCAACAGTGCATTTATTTTTTATAAAAAAGTAGAATAAAACAAAAAAGTGTTGAGAAAAAAAGAGCAGAAGTAAAATAAAATAACAGTAGGGAGGCTATATATACAGGGGGTACCGGTGCAGAGTCAATGTGCGGGGGCACCGGCTAGTTGAGGTAGTTGAAGTAATATGTACATGTGGGTAGAGTTAAAGTGACTATGCATAAATAATTAACAGAGTAGCAGCAGCGTAAAAAGATGGGGTGGGGGGGGGGGGGGGCGGTGCAAATAGTCCGGGTAGCCATGATTAGCTGTTTAGGAGTCTTATGGCTTGGGGATAGAAGCTGTTGAGAAGTCTTTTGAACCTAGACTTGGCACTCCGGTACCGCTTGCCGTGCGGTAGCAGAGAGAACAGTCTATGACTAGGGTGGCTGGAGTCTTTGACAATTTTGAGGGCCTTCCTCTGACACCGCCTGGTATAGAGGTCCTGGATGGCAGGAAGCTAGATAGGAACTAGATAGCTTTAGAAGTATTCTAGAAAGGTCTATGAAAATATGTTACAAGTACGAATTACATTATTTCCTAAGAAGGAAGATGATTAGGGCAGGTCCCCGCGCCTCCCCCGTTTTGTAGGAAGGAGCAGGGTAGGAAGGGGAGAGAGACAGTACATAGTTCAAATGATAGGAAAATAATTAAATGTATGCTCATCAACGATAGCAAGTATTTGTTTTATTAATTAGGGCCTAATCAGAGAGAACAGTTAAAGAAATTGAATAGTGAACTGAAATTGCGATAGAGCTGTAGAAATTATTTCAGTTGAGGACAAAGGAAAATAATTTATGGTTCTAGTTCCCGGGTAAAATAGTTGTACTTGCTTGACTAGATCGAGCAGAAGTTTTAATAGTTGAATGAAAAGCATTTCTTTGACGAAGTCTAATGGTTATTACTTTATTGTATAGGTTGGGTAACACCAGTGGTGTATGAAAATAAGTGGTGAATTCTAAAACAATAATTTGGTTTCGTTACGTGAACAATGGGATATCGTTTTTACTGTTAGGATGATGGATTTAATAAACATTGGTTATAAGTATGAAGTTATTAAACAATAGGTTTATATTTTAAAAACATCAATGCAACAGGTTGCAATGATTAAATTAATAGAAAGGGGTTATAGGGTTATATTAGAAGGTGTAGTGAACTTAATGAAACGTGGTATTATATAGTGTCTTCCAGGATTGATGGAAGTCTCCTATAGCATTATGTTAAGGGTTTGCCTGGGATAAAATATAATGTCTTACTTACACGGAGTATGTGATTGTATTGGCTAATGAATGAAATATGACATTTACAGGGGCGAAAGGAACAATAGAAGGGGAGACAGATTTTCCTATGGTGTTGGTAAAATAATTGATAATGGATCATTTGAGATGAGATCACATGGAGCAGATTTAGGGGTTCAATAATCATTGTGAGATGAGTTATGAGGAATTAGATTGATACAAACGATTATTGATGAGTTAGGACTGGGGATATCTGTATCATGTTTTGTGTGTACTTACCATCTTTAGATTACTGATGGTAATTGAAGGTTGACAAAATGTATAACCAGGAGAAAGAGATTAGCTTATCTCATTGGAATGTTGCCCAGGGCTAGGGGGAGCAGTAGTGAAGTTAGGCAGTATTTAGGTCGTAAAAGGGAGCTACCAAATTAAGTGGGGCCTGGCTATCTTTGATTGTTGTTTTTCAATTGGGTTTTTCAAATAAAAAACAACACACCTAGTATGATGTTTATAAAGGGGGTTGTTATGTTGAATTTAGGGGGTTTTCAAAAGTTCATAGGTGATGGGTCTTAAAGGAGCACACACAGTGAATTTTATGGAGTTTTTCGGTTTTTGACTGAGTTTGGAGTGTGCATGATTTCTTGTGGGAGTGAATGTCATGAGGACTTGGTGTTTACTATGCTGTGGGATGGAATGGTTTGTTGGGTGATTTCAATGGCCTCTGGGCTCTGTTTTGACTTTCTGGTGTTGATTGGTCATCCACAATGGTGGTTCTGGGGGCATGAGAGGAGGACTTTGGGATGGTTTATTTTATCAAATTGAGGGTAATTTATAGTGCTGTGAAAAGTGTTGTCGTGTATGAAGATTATGACTAGTCTTGAGGGACAAAGAAAAACTGTTTATCTTAGTGTGATATTAATAAAAGCCTCTAATCACGGTGCAGCCTAAGCGGACTCTTTGTTGACAGCAATAACCACCAACAACAGACGCGACACGACAGTGTGAAGAAGATTATAATTTGGTAATAATAGGATTTGAAACATTAAAATAACAGAAGAGGGAGAGAGCTTTCCTTGAATGAAAGATACCTGTTGCTAGTCAATTGTACTACTCTTGGATTACTTTTACAGGATAGAAGTTAGTTGAGATGTTATCAAATGTTGTCATTTACATTTTATTTTTATTATGTTTTAATAAACAACAAGTTGGTATTTGAAACTAAATTAATGCAATGAGCTGCAGTAATCAGAGGAAGGCACAATGTAATGCGAAACAGCTATTGCCTAGTTCATTGATTTAGTAATAAGATCAGGAAGATAGTAATAATAGGAAGCTGGATAGGATAATTTAAGATAGGGACTAGCTGTCCAGAAATAGATGAAGAATGATGAGCTTTTGGGGAATGATAGACTGCTGTAAAGCTTGGGTACTCCATTATGTACTGCATACTGGTAAATTAAGTGATCTTATCTATGGGAAGGCAATGAAAGCCCATGGTCAAATCATTTGGAACTCTGAGGAGGAAGAACAATTTATGAAGAGAAAAAAGTTACTCACTTCCCAAACAGTCTTAGCTTTTCCTACATATAACAGGGATTTTACCCAAATGGTAGAGAGTAAAGAGGGATATATGACATTGGTCGTGATTTAAAGATGGTGATGAGGGAGTTTCTTTTTAGTGGGCTATTAGATATAACTGGGTTAATCACGAACATAGAGTTTTTTTTATTATTTGTTGCTAGGCAGAAGACTTAGGTGACCTAGGGTCGAAGTGCTTGCTCTTACTTCAATCCATGGCTGTCTTTTGTCTCTCTTCAAACATTGTGAAGGGAGCGGCACCAGGGTTGAGCAGAGTTCAGGCTAAAACCTGTCTCTCCTTTGCTATTTTCTTGATTGATTACAGCATGAAGGGGGGTTTGTGTTAGGTTTGAAAGATTTAAGTATGGACCTGTCATGTCCAACCATCAGTCTTCAGGTCAAGCCCGGGAGAGCCGGGGTAGAACAGAGTTTGAACTAAACATGAGTGTTTTTACAAGATTGATTGATTGGATTACTATAGATTCTGAACTGAATGAAAGTCGAATTTAGCCGCCATAAAAGACAAAGGAAGTGGGAGGAGCAATAAAGAAGCAAGGGACCGTCTCAAAAATAAATAAGGGATGGCAATTGGATGATAAATTACCAATATTACCTACAGTGGGGAAAAAAAGTATTTAGTCAGCCACCAATTGTGCAAGTTCTCCCACTTAAAAAGATGAGAGAGGCCTGTAATTTTCATCATAGGTACACGTCAACTATGACAGACAATGACACCCAAAGAACACCATACCTACTTGTGAAGCATGGGGGTGGAAACATCATGCTTTGGGGCTGTTTTTCTGCAAAGGGACCAGGACGACTGATCCGTGTAAAGGAAAGAATGAATGGGGCCATGTATCGTGAGATTTTGAGTGAAAACCTCCTTCCATCAGCAAGGGCATTGAAGATGAAACGTGGCTGGGTCTTTCAGCATGACAATGATCCCAAACACACCGCCCGGGCAACGAAGGAGTGGCTTCGTAAGAAGCATTTCAAGGTCCTGGAGTGGCCTAGCCAGTCTCCAGATCTCAACCCCATAGAAAATCTTTGGAGGGAGTTGAAAGTCCGTGTTGCCCAGCGACAGCCCCAAAACATCACTGCTCTAGAGGAGATCTGCATGGAGGAATGGGCCAAAATACCAGCAACAGTGTGTGAAAACCTTGTGAAGACTTACAGAAAACGTTTGACCTGTGTCATTGCCAACAAAGGGTATATAACAAAGTATTGAGAAACTTTTGTTATTGACCAAATACTTATTTTCCACCATCATTTGCAAATAAATTCATTAAAAATCCTACAATGTGATTTTCTGGATTTTTTTTTTTCTCATTTTGTCTGTCATAGTTGATGTGTACCTATGATGAAAATTACAGGCCTCTCTCATCTTTTTAAGTGGGAGAACTTGCACAATTGGTGGCTGACTAAATACTTTTTTCCCCCACTGTAAGTGATTGTTTAGGTAGGTGGCAATATTGACACATGAGCAGAACCATGTATCAAGAGGGGGGAAGAGGCTAGTGGTAGGATTAAATAATATATGAAGGAGAGGACAAAATACTTTTTAAAAAAAACTTTTTTTAGATACAGTCTAGAAAGAGAATACTGATGTGAGCGGCATCCAGTCCCTAAAGAAGAAATACTGGAAGCAGGCATGTTGGGAAGGGCCCTATCAGGTGATATTGGTCACTGCCTTTGCCATTAGAATAGCAGAAAGAGCAACCTGGGTCCACGTTACCCACTGCAAAAAGGTAAGAACACATACAAGCACCACTGAACACACGCAGAGTTAGAGAGAGGAACTGCACAAATAGGGTCTGGGGATCACCTCTGTTAACGAAGATCTCCTACCCCGACCTATCATCACTGTAGTGTGTTCTCAGGGTGTGAGTATGGGGTAATATCAAGCAGAAAGACTGAGGACAGGAGAGGGTTGGCAGGTTTTGGGAATAGGGGTAACTTGAGCTGCATCATAGTCTCGGCAATGGTCTTGAAATGTCAAGATCCACCACCAATTACGCTTTGCCCTTACCATTGTTAAGAAGCAAAAGAGAAGAGAAGTGACCCGACATACTGACCGTCAAGGACGAGTGGCCTACAAAATGGGAGTCAGAGAAGGGCAGACTGTAGGATTCAAAATAAGGGTTAGGGACGTAGCCAACGGGTGGGGTACATGTCAATAAGCAATTTGGGATTATAAAATCCCATTATATTCGTGTTCGGCCCCCACGGCGGATTGTTCCTAGACTCAAGTGTTTAAATACACTTGGGGACGGGGATATGAGACCGGGCGAGACTGAACATCCAGATGGGGGGTAAAGAGAAACAAAGACATCACCAATTATCAATTGGAGATAGTAGTGATGTGATTGACTTAAGTTCAGAAGCACAGGAGAGAATTCTGAACCTTACAGCCCCTGTAACCGATGTGTGGTGGGCGTGTGCCAGTAAAGACAGTATAAGGCAGAGAATACCAAAAGGGTGGCTAGATACGTGCGCCCTGGTTCTACTGGTTCAGCTAGTTAGAATTAGTCACCAGGAACCAAGGAAAGGGTTAAACAGACGTAGGAGGAGTTTTAACAAAAAGGAGAATAGTCCTATTTAGATGGATGCGATTGGGATACCAAGGGGGGGTATCGGATGGATAACAAGCTATGAAAGAATTAGGGGAAGGGTTTACAACCACGTTCTTTTGGTGGGTGACAATAAACAAAATTGTGGATTGGATTAATTATATCTATTACGACCAACAACGATTTATTAGCCAGACTAGGGATGCAGTAAAAGGGATCTCTGAACAATTTTCCGCCATCTCACTCATGACTTAGTAAAAGAGGTTGGCTCTAGATCAGGCAGAAAGGGGCGGTGTCTATAGAATGATAAGCCATTGTTGCACATTTTATCCCTAACAACACCACACCGGATGGGACAGTCACCAGAGCTCTTGCAGAATTAACTGCACTAAGTGAAGAATGAGCTGAGAACTCAGAAGTTAGTACATCGTGGATAGGGTGGTTTGATGAAATGTTTGGTAAATGGAAAACCATAGCAGCCACCATCTTAGGGCGGTCAGTGTTTGTATGGGTATTCTTGTATTATGTGGTTGTTGTCTTGTTCCCTGTGTCCGAGGATTGGTGAGTAAGGCGTTGGTGAAATGCAGTATCTCAACAATGATGAGAGATGGACCGACTCCGGACTCTGACCAGGGGAATGTGAAAAACGATCCTTCAGGATTGGTGGATGACGAGGATTTTGACCCTGAAAGACCGCAATTGGATGAGATGTTTATTAGTTCTGACGTAATCTCTGAGATGAATCATGCTTGTAAATACATTTATCCTGAATGTGAAAACATTTAGTCAAAGGGGTGGATTGATAGATTCATTTGTATTTTAAGAATAATGACTAAAGGATTTCACCCCAAATACAGTATAAATGTGTGAACGGTGTTAGAGTTATAATGTAGTGTCAACCCACTAACAGAGGGGGAGGAGTTAGAAACTGCTGAGAAAGCATTCCAGGGTGAAGGGGACTGAGAAGCTGTTTAAAGGTGAGCGGAGCAAAGTGTCTTTGTGTGTCAAGGGATATAAAAGCTGTATGTATGTTTTTTGGCGCCAGAGCTCTCCATGATTAAAACATACAGATCATTCTTGTTGGTTGCGGACCTTCGTTTAATTCATGATTAAACCAGAGCCTTACACCATCTGGGAATTATTCAAAGCATTAAGTTTGATTAATTAGAGATATAAATTCTTGTGACAGTCTTTTACCAAATAAGGCTATCCCCCCCCCCCCCCCCCCCCACCTTGTCACAACACAACTGATTGGCTCAAACGTATTAAGAAGGAAAGAAATTCAAAAAAATTACTTTTAAGAAGGCACACCTGTTAATTGAAATGCATTCCAGGTGAAGCTGGTTGAGAGAATGCCAAGAGTGTGCGAAGCTGTCATCAAGGCAAAGGGTGGCTATTTGAAGAATCTCAAATATAAAATATATTTTGATTTGTTTAACACTTTATTGGTTACTACATGATTCCATGTGTTATTTCATAGTTTTGATGTCTTCCCTATTATTCTACAATGTAAAATATAGTTTAAAAAAATAAAAACCCTTGAATGAGTGGGTGTGTCCAAACTTTTGACTGGTAGTGTATGTTATTTTCATGGCATGGGCTGGTATTGTATGTTTGCTGGACACTGTAGGAATTGCAATCAACCAGATCCTCTGATTCCCAGGTGATCTACCTCCGAAAGTTCAAGAACCTGCGCACTCTCAACCTAGCTGGAAACCCCATCTGCAAAGAGGACCACTACAAGATCTTTGTTGCTGCCTATCTTCCAGAGTTGGTTTACTTGGACTTCAGACTATTGGATGAACAAACAGTGAGTGACGGAATAGGAAAATTGCCCCTAGACACTGATCTTGGGTCAGTCTTGCAATCCCCCCACTAATGGTTAAGGTTAGGATTGGGGGAGGGGAAGCTGATCCTAGATCTGTAGCTATTATTTATTTATTTTATTTTTTATTTAACCTTTATTTAACCAGGTAAGCCAGTTGAGAACAAGTTCTCATTTACAACTGCGACCTGGCCAAGATAAAGCAAAGCAGTGCGATAAAAACAACAACACAGAGTTACATATGGAATAAACAGAACGTACAGTCAATAACTCAATATAAAATCTATATACAGTGTGTGCAAATGTAGTAAGTTATGGAGGTAAGGCAATAAATAGGCCATAGTGCAAAATAATTACAATTTAGTATTAACACTGGAGTGATAGATTTGCAGAAGATTATGTGCAAATAGAGATACTGGGGTGCAAATGAGCAAAATAAATAACAATGTAAATAACAATATGGGGATGAGGTTGTTGGGTGGGCTAATTACAGATGGGCTGTGTACAGGTGCAGTGATAGGTAAGCTGCTCTGACAACTGATGCTCAAAGTTAGTGAGGGAGATAAGAGTCTCCAGCTTCAGAGATTTTTGCAGTTCGTTCCAGTCATTTGCAGCAGAGAACTGGAAGGAATGGCGGCCAAAGGAGGTGTTGGCTTTGGGAATTAAAGCATTAGAAACACATCCCTGGCGCTAGAGCGACAAGTACAGGAGAACCAATGGGATGGCAAGGTTGTATCCACACCAACATACCATAAGTCTTACAAAACACAAGTCTTACAAAATAAGAGATTTATGCCTAGGCTCAGGGACATTCCTGTCCTGATGAATTAAAGCATGTATGTAAACGAGAGCATTACAAAATGGTTAGTCATGGATTACAAACGTTTCCCCTGGGAATCAGCCAACTGAATAAGCGCCACACTAAAAGCGGTCGCAAAACTGCTGAACTGCCATACCTTTACACATCCCATCCATATTGTAACCACAGATTTAAAGAAAACTGTTCCAAAGGTCTATTTTATAAATGATTCTTCAAGCGCTGCACTGGATATACCATTAGCTTGTGTGAATACATTAATACCTTGCTTTTTTCTTACTCTACCAACCATTCGGGCGGGCATTGAACATTAAGTATCTCCTTATGTAGCGAGAGCAGGCGTTTGGAAAATACCAGTATGCCATTGAGGAGATGCGCCACAATGAGGCCCAAGAGAGAAGGACGATGGACATTAGGCAAGAGCAAGAGGACGAGCTCCAGTTGCACAGGGTAACCTACGAAAAACATACATTCAGAGCAAAGTATACATTCTACATCCATGTGTGCGTTGAGCTTGAAATCATTGGACAATTCTGCCACCTACTGTTGTGTGTGTGTGTGTGTGTGTGTGTGTGTGTGTGTGTGTGTGTGTTTTGTGTAAGTGTGCTTCCCTACCTACAGGATGCCTTTGTGGAGCTCTTGAATGGCCCATATCTGTTTGACAGCAGGTACGCAGATGATGCAGAGGCAGCCAAGCTGGCCTACCTCCCCAGAGTGTCTGTACTACTAGATACATATCCTTCTCCATACTCTGTTCCCTCAGTGTCAGTCTATTTGGAGCATGCCTTCTCCCTTCCACAATTGGCTCTTGATTTATTGGATGGCTAAAAGTAATAATAATAATATACAGTGGGGGAAAAAAGTATTTAGTCAGCCACCAATTGTGCATGTTTTCTCACTTAAAAAGATGAGAGAGGCCTGTAATTTTCATCATAGGTACACGTCAACTATGACAGACAAAATGAGAAAAAAAATTCCAGAAAATCACATTGTAGGATTTTTAATAAATTTATTTGCAAATTATGGTGGAAAATAAGTATTTGGCCACCTACAAACAAGCAAGATTTCTGGCTCTCACAGACCTGTAACTTCTTCTTTAAGAGGCTCCTCTGTCCTCCACTCGTTACCTGTATTAATGGCACCTGTTTGAACTTGTTATCAGTATAAAAGACACCTGTCCACAACCTCAAACAGTCACACTCCAAACTCCACTATGGCCAAGACCAAAGAGCTGTCAAAGGACAACAGAAACAAAATTGTAGACCTGCACCAGGCTGGGAAGACTGAATCTGCAATAGGTAAGCAGCTTGGTTTGAAGAAATCAACTGTGGGAGCAATTATTAGGAAATGGAAGACATACAAGACCACTGATAATCTCCCTCAATCTGGGGCTCCACGCAAGATCTCACCCCGTGGGGTCAAAATGATCACAAGAATGGTGAGCAAAAATCCCATAACCCCGCGGGGGGACCTAGTGAATGACCTGCAGAGAGCTGGGACCAAAGTAACAAAGCCTACCATCAGTAACACACTACGCGCCAGGGATTCAAATCCTGCAGTGCCAGACGTGTCCCCCTGCTTAAGCCAGTACATGTCCAGGCCCGTCTGAAGTTTACTAGAGTGCATTTGGATGATCCAGAAGAGGATTGGGAGAATGTCATATGGTCAGATGAAACCAAAATAGAACTTTTTGGTAAAAACTCAACTCGTCGTGTTTGGAGGACAAAGAATGCTGAGTTGCATCCAAAGAACACCATACCTACTGTGAAGCATGGGGGTGGAAACATCATGCTTTGGGGCTGTTTTTCTGCAAAGGGACCAGGACGACTGATCCGTGTAAAGGAAAGAATGAATGGGGCCATGTATCGTGAGATTTTGAGTGAAAACCTCCTTCCATCAGCAAGGGCATTGAAGATGAAACGTGGCTGGGTCTTTCAGCATGACAATGATCCCAAACACACCGCCCAGGCAACGAAGGAGTGGCTTCGTAAGAAGCATTTCAAGGTCCTGGAGTGGCCTAGCCAGTCTCCAGATCTCAACCCCATAGAAAATCTTTGGAGGGAGTTGAAAGTCTGTGTTGCCCAGCGACAGCCCCAAAACATCAATGCTCTAGAGGAGATCTGCATGGAGGAATGGGCCAAAATACCAGCAACAGTGTCTGAAAACCTTGTGAAGACTTACAGAAAACGTTTGACCTGTGTCATTGCCAACAAAGGGTATATAACAAAGTATTGAGAAACTTTTGTTATTGACCAAATACTTATTTTCCACCATAATTTGCAAATAAATTCATTAAAAATCCTACAATGTGATTATCTGGATTTTTTTCCTCATTTTGTCTGTCATAGTTGACGTGTACCTATGATGAAAATTAAAGGCCTCTCTCATCTTTTTAAGTGGGAGAAGTTGCACAATTGGTGGCTGACTAAAAAATGTTTCCCCCTCTGTAATTATATATCTTGTTGTAAGATAGTGATTTAACGGAGAGAAAAAACTGGGGGGAAAATATTCTACTATTGCATCGAAGGCTCCTTCCTTGACTCTGTTCCTACATACAAGAGCCAGCTGGTGGCGCTGTGTGTGCAGGTGTTTAAGATTGGCTTGGCACAGCGCGGCCGGAGGGAAGACGAGGTCAAGTCGTTCTTTGACTGTTCCAGAGAAGCCGTGGACGACAACCAGCAGAGAGCAGCACAGATCACTGCAGACTTCGAGAAAGCCAGGAGACAGGTGAGTCATGGGACTGTAGCTTTTACGGTCATGCAAAGAAGGGATGCCGCTAATGTCAGATGTCAAAACGTACATATCCGATTCGCGTCAGGGGAAGAATTTGAGCATTTTAGCTAACCCTAACGCTTTTCCTAACCTTAACCTAATTCTCCTAACCTGCTACGTTAATTATCCTAACCTGCTGCGTAAGTTCTCCTAACCTGCTACGAAAAGTTACTTCTGATATTAGCGGCATCCCATCTAGTCAAAACCGGCTTTCACTTGCACTGACAGTGAAATGGTCACGTTTGAGAGCTTCAATTCAGCGCAGACTGACAGATCTACAAATCTTAATGAGTAGACCAATTGGCAAGTCTAATTGGAAACTGTTTGATTTTCCCCCAATTAATTACAGCTCTTCCCTGCCCATGTAACCTTTTTCATTATCTAAAAGATAATTAAAAAATCCCAAATTAGCACTCCTACTCTGAGATGCTTTATTAATAATAATAATATATTTAATTTATTTAGCGCTTTTCATTATACAGATTATCTTAAAGATGCTAAAAAACAAAACAAAAACAAAAGTACATGTAGTTCTTGGGCTGGACAATGGTCTTCAACAGAGGCTAAATATGAATATGGCCCATGGAATTCAACTGACTCCTATCTGCCCCATCTCTATGGAGGGATATACTGTAAGTGTCAAAATACATTTAATATGAATTATTTTGGAACAAATATTACATATTTAATGTATTTGCACTGAATATCTTCTTGGCCACACATAGATAATGTAGGAAAAATGTATGCACTCACTAACTGTAAGTCGCTCTGGATAAGAGCGTCTGCTAAATTACTAAAATGTAAATGTAAAAATGTCACAGCCATTTTATTTAGAAAGTTAGGCCATTGAGGTTTCTGCATTATGATGCATTTGCATTCTATGGCAGCCATGTTAGTGCTCCATTAACATTACATGGGGAATATAATATCTAGAATGAGCATTGGGATGCATTTACATAAAACGTTAAAATTCTATGGCAGCCATGTTAGCGCCCCATTAATATTACATGGGGAATATTTAAATAATGCTATGTAACTGAATGTCTATAATAAGAACAATATTCAAAATTCAAAAAATTGGCCCAACTTTCTAAGTATATGGCTCTGGATAATGGTATAACAAACTGCTATAATAAAAACACGATAGCAACAGTTTAACAAAAACGGTGCTATTTTTATCGTATCAAATCCACTGTACATAAATCTTACAAAAATCATACAAATAACAAAAACATCATGCAAATCATACATAAATGTTGTGTATCTCCACGTTGCCACACACACACATGTGATGTTTGAGATGCAGCAGGCCACAGACACACGTCTCCTGGAGGCCCAGCTGAACCACTGCAGGGAGGAGATCAACCAGCTCTGTGACAGCCTCATGACCCAGGAGCTACAGCTGGTCGACCAGCTGGAGGTGTGTGTGTGTGTCTGTGTCTGTCTGTCTGTCTGTCTGTCTGTCTGTCTGTCTGTCTGTCTGTCTGTCTGTCTGTCTGTCTGTCTGTCTGTCTGTCTGTCTGTGTATTGTTATGATCTAAATTCCTGCCTTTAAATCTGAACTGTGACTTCCAAGAGGTTAGGAGTAGAGGTTTTCACGGATCCACCTGTACCCATACCAGATACCTGATCTGGGATCAGAGCGGGTCCAGATCCAGAATTCTAATTAATGTCACGGGTCTGGGTCGGATCTCATATGATTGTCACGAGTCTCAGGTCTGTGTCATTTTAACTGACTTGTCCAGAATGACCCGTACAGAGCCGAACGCGACTGCTGCAGTAGAGAGAGAGAAAAATTGTATAATTTATGCTGCTGCTTTTCAAGGGTGGTGCGTGTAGCTTGTTGTTGTTGTTGATCAGTCATAAGTCATCAAAGCGGCAATAGGTTACAGTCATATAGCCTCTGTGTGTGGCAAAAGTTAGGAGATATCTAATCAATGGAATTAAAATGACGGAATTAAAAGTTAAAGGAGAAGGATAGGCTACAATGACCAAGAGCCAACAGGTAGGCTGCTACTTAATATTCTGAATGGAGTTGTTGTTACGATGAGAAAGCGCATGCACTGCTTCCTCAATTAACTTAAGCTAGCTTAATTAGCTAGCTTCTCCCGGTTCGATGCAGTCAAGACAGGTACTACGTAATCATATTGGATGATAAATAACCTAGCTATTAGCAGCTATTAGTCTACTATAGTGCATGTCGGCTAGTTGGTTGTTTGCTGTCTCTCATCCCTGTGTCACTCTCTCACAGTACGGACCCTCCACCGCCTGCTAGAGCGGCACCTTTCTCTCCCTCCTCTCACGCTTTATCTGCTCCGGTTAATAAAGTAGCTTAAAAAATGACTTTTCTGCTGCTTCCCTCACTCTGTGTCGATTGGACCGGGTGTGGATCTGAACCAGGTCTATACGGAATGGGTCTAGTTCTCCTCAGGTCCGTTCGGAATGGGTCTCTGTATTTTAAAAATAAATGTATGCATATCGGGTCTGGGTGGGAAAGCCCCAGGTTAATTTCGGAACAGGTCCAACCTTTTTCGGTCCGTGAAGACCTGTAGTTAGGAGTCATCATAAAGCAGTACCTGGTAACCTAGGTGACCTCTAGGTGACCTCCCTGAGGCCAAGTGCCAATGGCTGTAAATTCAGCCATCTGGAGTTTCAAATGATAGAGACATCTAATATAGAGCTCACTCTGACCCAAGTGGTCTCGATAACCTTGATTAATGTTGTGACCAGGGGCCCAGAACACTTGAAGAACGAACAGATAAGCAAGAGTATTTATGCGTGCCTGCCTGCCTGCCTTTGAGGGGGTTAGCAGATTGCTACAAACGTCTTAGAGGAATGTGTCTGTCTCCCCATATGCATATGTCTGTTTATTGTTTGTCTATTAAACCTTTAAATATAAATGTAGAAGTCGTTCTCCTTATCTTTGGGTACAGCATTTTCCACACCTTGAGCAAATAAATTTTTCCCGACTGTGTGTGTGTGTGTGTGTGTGTGTGTGTGTGTGTGTGTGCGGCTGATGTATATTATAGTACACGTGCAAGAGTTCCTATGGAAACTATCTCATTCATAGAGGAATGTTTGAAGTGGTTAATTAATTCAAGTGTATAGAATGTTTAGGCACAACAAACCTATATGATAGCTTGTATAGTCTGTGTGCTGTCAGACACTAGGTCCAGCTGCAAAGAACAGTAGAGTAAATACAGGCATTAGATTAACATATTTTTTCTTTTCCGTTTAATATCAAAACACACATTTCGATTTGAGATATGTTATTCATAATAACTATTCTCCTTTTTTTTCCATAGGATATAATCAAATATTTTGAGAGGAACATTTCAGACATGGTTGCCGGACTCAAGGAATATATCCTTTACTACCTCATGTATTTCAATATAACTGCAAGTTGCATGTGTATTATAATGGTGTTACAGTGCACTGATGCAGTTATAAAAATCAGGGGTCTGTATGTATCAAGCATCTCAGAGTAAGAGTGCTGATTTGCTGATTTAGGATCAGTTTAGCCTTTTAGATCGCAATTAATAAGATTACATGGACAGGGAGGACCTGATCCTAGATCAGCACGCCTACTCTGAGACGCTTTATATACAGTATACAGCCCCAGACAAAGTGTCCTTGACACAGACCCACATTCGCCCAGTGCCGAGACTTAGAGAACCACCACCACGAGAAGCTACTGGAAATCGCCGTGACAACCCTGGAGCGAGTGGCCAAGAATGAGCTGGAGGAGGATATGCCTGATGATGTCCGAATGGCAGTGTCAGAGTCAGAAAGTCCCTGTGCCTACAGCAAATCCTATAGGCCCTGGTAAAAAGTAGTATACTAAATAGGGAATAGGGTGCTATTTGAGACGCAGCCTAAATAGTGTTTCCCTACCCCTCTCTCAACCCTGTCTCTTTTCTCCACAAAAATTGACAAAAATTGTCAGACTCCAGCAACCCAAGTCATAGACTCTTCTCTCTGCTACCTCACGGCAAACAGTACCGGATCTGGGATCAAAAGGCTCCTGAACAGCTTCTATCCCCAAGCCATAAGACTGCTAAAGAGTTAACTAAATAGCTACCCGGACTATCTGCATTGACCCTTTTTGCACTAACTATTTTTGACTCTATGCACACACACTGGACTCTACCCACACACTCACACATACTTACATTACACTGACACTGACACTCCAACACATACACACACACACTCACTCACATATACGCTGCTGCTACTGTCTATTATCTATCCTGTTGCCTAGTCACTTTACCCCTACCTACACTATATATACAAAAGGATGTGGACACCCCTTCAAATTAGTGGATTCGTCTATTTCAGCCACACCCATAGCAGACAGGTGTATAAAATCGAGCACACAGCCATGCAATCTCCATAGACAAACACTGGCAGTAGAATGGCCTTACTGAAGAGCTCAGTGACTTTCAACGTGGCACCGTCATAGGAAGCCACCTTTCCAACAAGTCAGTTTGTCAAATTTTTGCCCTGCTAGAGTTTTTCATGGTTCGGGCTAGGCCACTTCAATCAATCAATCAATCAATTTTATTTTATATAGCCCTTCGTACATCAGCTAATATCTCGAAGTGCTGTACAGAAACCCAGCCTAAAACCCCAAACAGCTAGTAATGCAGGTGTAGAAGCACGGTGGCTAGGAAAAACTCCCTAGAAAGGCCAAAACCTAGGAAGAAACCTAGAGAGGAACCAGGCTATGAGGGGTGGCCAGTCCTCTTCTGGCTGTGCCGGGTGGAGGTTATAACAGAACCATGCCAAGATGTTCAAAAATGTTCATAAGTGACAAGCATGGTCAAATAATAATCAGGAATAAATCTCAGTTGGCTTTTCATAGCCGATCATTAAGAGTTGAAAACAGCAGGTCTGGGACAGGTAGGGGTTCCATAACCGCAGGCAGAACAGTTGAAACTGGAATAGCAGCAAGGCCAGGCGGACTGGGGACAGCAAGGAGTCACCACGGCCGGTAGTCCCGACGTATGGTCCTAGGGCTCAGGTCTCTCAGTTGGCTTTTCATAGCCGATCATTAAGAGTTCCAGTGAAGGGAAATCTTAACGCTACAGAATACAATGACATTCTAGAGGATTCTGTGCTTCCAACTTTGTGGCAACAGTTTGGGGAAGGCCCTTTCCTGTTTCAGCATGACAATGCCCCGTGCACAAAGCGAGGTCCATACAGAAATGGTTTGTTGAGATCGGTGTGGAAAAACTTGACTGGCCTGCACAGAGCCCTGACCTCAACCCCATCGAACACCTTTGGGATGAATTGGAACACTGACTGCGAGCCAGGCCTAATCGCCCAAAATCGGTGCCCGACCTCACTAATGCTATTGTGGCAGAATGGAAGCAAGTCCCCACAGCAGTGTTCCAACATCTAGTGGAAAGCCTTCCCAGAAGAGTGGAGGCTGTTATAGCAGCACAGGGGGGACCAACTCCATATTAATGCCCAGGATTTTGGAATGAGATGTTTGACGAGCAGGTGTCCACATATCTTGGTCATGTAGTGTTTATGTACACCGCATTCTGAAAGTATTCAGACACCTTGACTTTTTACACATTTTGTTACGTTACAGCCTTATTCTAAAATTGATTAAATATATTTTTTGCCTCATCAATCTACACACAATACCCCATAATGACAAAGCGAAAACAGGTTTTTAGAATTATTTGCAGATTCATACAAAATAAAAAACAGAAATACCTTATTTAAATAAGTATTCAGACCCTTTGCTATGAGCCTTGAAATTGAGCTCAGGTGCATCCTGTTTCCATTGATCATCCTTGAGATGTTTCTACAACTTGATTGGAGTCCACCTGTGGTAAATTCAATTGATTGGATATGATTTGGAAAGGCACACAGCTGTCTATTTAAGGTCCCACAGTTGACAGTGCATGTCAGAGCAAAGACCAAGCCATGAGGTCGAAGGAATTGTCTGTAGAGGTCCAAGACAGGATTGTGACGAGGCACAGATCTGGGGGAAACAGATTGAAGGTCCCCAAGAACACAGTGGCCTCCATCATTCTTAAATGGAAGAAGTTTGGAACCACCAAGACTCTTCCTAGAGCTGGCCGCCCGGCCAAACTGAGCAATCGGGGGAGAAAGGCCTTGGTCAGGGAGGTGACTAAGAACCCGATGGTCACTCTGAAGGACAACCATTTCTGCAGCACTAAAACAATCAGGCCTTTATGGTAGAGTGGTCAGACGGAAGCCACTCCTCAGTAAAAGGCACATGACATCCGCTTGTAGTTTGCCAAAAGGCACCTAAAGGACTCTCAAACCATGAGAAACAAGATTCCCTGGTTTGATGAAACCAAGATTGAACTCTTTGGCCTGAATGCCATGCTGGTTAAGTGTGCCTTGAATTCTAAATAAATCACAGACAGTGTCACCAGCAAACCATCCCCACACCATAACACCTTCTCCTCCATGCTTTACGGTGGGAAATACACATGCGGAGATCATCCGTTCACCCACACCGCGTCTCACAAAGACACGGCGGTTGGAACCAAAAATCTCAAATTTGGACTCCAGACCAAAGGATACATTTCCACCGGTCTAATGTCCATTGCTCGTGTTTCTTGGCCCAAGCAAGTCTCTTCTTCTTATTGGTGTCCTTTAGTAGTGGTTTCTTTGCAGCAATTCAACCATGAAGGCCTGATTCACACTGTCTCCTCTGAACAGTTGATGTTGAGATGTGTCTGTTACTTGAACTCTGTGAAGCATTTATTTGGGCTGCAATTTCTGAGGCTGGTAACTCTAATGAACTTATCCTCTGCAGCAGAGGTAACTCTGGGTCTTCCATTCCTGTGGCGGTCCTCATGAGAGCCAATTTCATCATAGCGCTTGATGGTTTTTGCGACTGCACTTGAAGAAACTTTCAATGTTCTTGAAATGTTCCGTATTGACTGACCTTCATGTCTTAAAGTAATGATGGACTGTTGTTTCTCTTTGCTTATTTGAGCTGTTCTTGCCATAATATGGACTTAGTCTTTTACCAAATAGGGCTATCTTCTACCCCCCCTACCTTGTCACAACACAACTGATTGGCTCAAACGCATTAACAAAGGCACACTTGTTAATTGAAATGCATTCCAGGTGACTACCTCATGAAGCTGGTTGAGAGAATGTCAAGAGTGTGCAAAGCTGCCATCAAGGCAAAGGGTGGCTATTTGAAGAATCTCAAATATAAAATATATTTTGATTTGTTTAACACTTTTTTGTTACTACATGATTCCATATGTGTTATTTCACTATTATTCTACAATGTTAACCCTTGAATGAGTAGGTGTGTCCAAACTTTTGACTGGTAGTGTATCTACCTCAATGACCTCGTACCTCTACACATCCACACGGTACTTGTACCTATGTACAGTGAGGGAAAAAAGTATTTGATCCCCTGCTGATTTTGTACGTTTGCCCACTGACAAAGACATGATCAGTCTATAATTTTAATGGTAGGTTTATTTGAACAGTGAGAGACAGAATAACAACCAAAAAATCAAAAATGTTATAAATTGATTTGCATTTTAATGAGGGAAATAAGTATTTGACCCCTCTGCAAAACATGACTTAGTACTTGGTGGCAAAACCCTTGTTGGCAATCACAGAGGTCAGACGTTTCTTGTAGTTGGCCACCAGGTTTTCACACATCTCAGGAGGGATTTTGTCCCACTCCTCTTTGCAGATCTTCTCCAAGTCATTAAGGTTTTGAGGCTGACGTTTGGCAACTCGAACCTTCAGCTCCCTCCACAGATTTTGGGATTAAGGTCTGGAGACTGGCTAGGCCACTCCAGGACCTTAATGTGCTACTTCTTGAGCCACTCCTTTGTTTCCTTGGCCGTGTGTTTTGGGTCATTGTCATGCTGGAATACCCATCCACGACCCATTTTCAATGCCCTGGCTGAGTGAAGGAGGTTCTCACCCAAGATTTGACGGTACATGGCCCCGTCCATCGTCCCTTTGATGCGGTGAAGTTGTCCTGTCCCCTTAGCAGAAAAACACCCCCAAAGCATAATGTTTCCACCTCCATGTTTGACGGTGGGGATGGTGTTCTTGGGGTCATAGGCAGCATTTTTCCTCCTCCAAACACGGCGAGTTGAGTTGATGCCAAAGAGCTCGATTTTGGTCTCATCTGACTACAACACTTTCACCTTGTTCTCCTCTGAATCATTCAGATGTTCATTGGCAAACTTCAGACGGGCCTGTATATGTGCTTTCTTGAGCAGGGGGACCTTGCGGGCGCTGCAGGATTTCAGTCCTTCAAGGCGTAGTGTGTTACCAATTGTTTTCTTGGTGACTATGGTCCCAGCTGCCTTGAGATCATTGACAAGATCCTCCCGTGTAGTTCTGGGCTGATTCCTCACCGTTCTCATGATCATTGCAACTCCACGAGGTGAGATTTTGCATGGAGCCCCAGACCAAGGGAGATTGACAGGTCTTTTGTGTTTCTTCCATTTGCGAATAATCGCACCAACTGTTGTCACCTTCTCACCAAGCTGCTTGGCGATGGTCTTGTAGCCCATTCCAGCCTTGTGTAGGTCTACAATCTTGTCCCTGACATCCTTGGAGAGCTCTTTGGTCTTGGCCATGGTGGAGAGTTTGGAATCTGATTGATTGATTGCTTCTGTGGACAAGTGTCTTTTATACAGGTAACAAACTGAGATTAGGAGCACTCCCTTTAAGAGTGTGCTCCTAATCTCAGCTCGTTACCTGTATAAAAGACACCTGGGAGCCAGAAATGGGGTCCTCTGTAGCTCAGCTGGTAGAGCACGGCGCTTGTAACGCCAAGGTAGTGGATTCGATCCCCGGGACCACCCATACACAAACAAAAATTATGCACGCATGACTGTAAATCGCTTTGGATAAAAGCGTCTGCTAAATGGCATATTATTATTATTATAGAAATCTTTCTGATTGAGAGGGGGTCAAATACTTATTTCCCTCATTAAAATGCAAATCAATTTATAAATTTTTGACATGCGTTTTTCTGGATTTTTTTGTTGTTATTCTGTCTCTCACTGTTCAAATAAACCTACCATTAAAATTATAGACTGATCATTTATTTGTCAGTGGGCAAACGTACAAAATCAGCAGGGGATCAAATACTTTTTTCCCTCACTGTATATAACCAAGCTATCATTGCTCATTGTGTATTTATTCCTTGTGTTACAATTATTTTTCCATTATTATTATACAAATTATATTTATTGTATTCTGCATTGTTGGGAAGCAATTCGCTGTTGTTTACGAAGCATGTGACAATTACAATTTGATTTGATTTGATATTGTATGTGTACATGCTCGTCCATATTGCACTCAGACACACTGCACACTGTCCAACTGTATTCTGTTCTTACTGCCTCACATCTCTGACAACATTGCCACTGTCACTGTTATTGAAACTACAGATCTGCTATCTTAATTTGATCAGTCTGTTGTCACAGAGAATATTCCTGCCCAGCAGGAAATGCAAATTGTATTGTATTCAAGGTTTAAAAAGGCTTCTAAAGTTTGTAATTTCCACATTAACATGTCATACTTGATTTTCCCTAACAAAAAATATGTCAACCACTACAATAAATGTCCATTAATTATAATCCACATAAAAATTCACATTTCCTGTTGCTACAGGATTATTTTCCTGCTGTGAGAAATTAAGATCCGTAGCACCTCAGCAGCACTTTCCCCAGTGGCACTCAGCAGTATCTTGATCCAACTGGCGCCTAGGTGAAGTTTCCCCTAGGTACAGATTTCAGATCAGTTTTCCTACCCCCAATCCTAACCTTAAACATTATGTTGAGAATGCAAAACTGACCCAAGATCAGTGTCTAGGGGCAACTTCACCCTGCATCAGCCCTCTGTGTTACACAGTGTCTGTTTGTCCCCCCATGCAGCTGTTTGTAGACAAGGACACAGTGATCAATGCAGTCAGAGCCTCCCACGACACCCACCTGCTGAAGATCGACAACCGTGAGGACGAACTGGTGACGCGCAGCAACAGCTGGATGAGCGCTCTGATGAAATTGGTAGGCAGGGTAATGCATGGAAATAGGATGACATAGATTGTATTTCTATGGGGAAGGCAAGGCATTGCCACAAACACTCAGTATGACAGTTTCCAGTTTTCCACCATGAAGAATGTTCTAACCTTGGGGTGTTTTAATTTGTTGTTGTTTTGTAACTTATTCGCCTGTCAATGCAGGTACAAGATGAAGAGGTGAAGCGGAATCGCAAGCGCATCTCAGAGATTCACAACTACATTGACTATGTTAGGGATCAGCTGGATGAGATGCAACATGAGCACCATTGATTAAGAAGAGAGGAAGGGAAAGGAAATATAGCAGAAGAAACAGTCCCAACACAGATTCACAAGCCTCAGGCATACAGCAAATGCCTTTCTTTTCATACTTACTTATTTTTCATGAACCTGTGTAATAAGGAAATTGAATTGTGTCAAAATAAAGTCCATTATTTATTGTTCATTTCCAGAAACAGGCTGAAATGTTTGTTGTGTATTCCTAACTGGTTCATATTTCAACTCTCTGGGACAACTCTGCCATCTACTGTTGTGTGTGTGTGTGTGTGTGTGTGTGTGTGTGTGTGTGTGTGTGTGTGTGTGTGTGTGTGTGTGTGTGTGAGTGTGTGTGTGTGAGAGAGAGAGAGAGAGAGAGAGATACTCTATGCATGCATAACTATCAACACCCAACCAAAACCATTCAACTAAACATTTTTTAGGTTTTGATTATAATCATTGTATTCTACAATACATTTCAGAACTAATAGAAAGTAAGGCCAAATATATAAGTTTTCAACCTTAGTACAAAACTGCAAGAACGCTGATCATTCATATGGATTTTTCCAGTGGAAACTAATGTACAAAAGTGCAACTACATGTCCCACAATGCATTTCCGAAGACTATCCAATTACGTTTCCGTTCAAATGAGCAGTGCACTTGTCCAGCCAATCAAATAAGGTGATTCTGAATTGTCTAATGCAACGTTGAAGTTCCCTTAAACCCAGTACACGTCCAGAGTGAGCTATCCTAGGGCCGGGGAGGACGATAGTCAACTTGCAAGTTTAGAGATACTGCTCGTCAGTAGCCCCTCTCCCTATTACGAGCTTCCTCCGTCTGTGGTTCATGACTGTTGCAGTCGGGGACACGCACGCATTAGCGCTCATCATGCCGGTTCGAGCTGAGCGCTGCAGCAGCACCGCTGCGGCCCGTACATCCTCAGACTCTCTTATCCCTCCCCCGCCGATCAACACGCACCAGCCCGGGGTAGCTACTTCGCTGCTGTACAGCGGTTCACAGTTTCGAGGGCATCAGAAGAGCAAAGGAAACTCGTATGACGTTGAGGTCGTTTTGCAGGTAAATTATCTTGCTTTTAAGAAGCTTGATATGATGGTTAGCATGCTTGCAAGCTGACCATGTAAGGTTGTCTTGTCACTGCTGCTAGTGACTGTCAACCACCACTGTCACGCAACCGATTTAGCAAGCTAGCCAGCTGAACTAGTTAGTTAGCAAACAAACTAGTTTAGGAAGCTTGACAGCAAGTAATCTGTAGCTTGTAGCTAGCTAGCCCATTCAAATAGACGGTAAATGTTAGTAAGCTCCCTTGGCCCCCCTAGGGTTCTCGAGAGATAACAGCCAGTTATGCAAATATTTGGATAGATGAATACTGGCATTCACATGCATGATTTATGTAAACAAATGGCCTAATTGTTAAATGACAAAAGGTAGCTAGCCTTCAGCATTTTCGTTGGTGCTCGCTCAGATAAACTGACAGCTGACTATTGAATAGGCCTGTTCATTCATTTGAGAAAACCTCTGAAAATACCTGAGAATAACATTTGTGAATAGCCTGGTTGTCATTCTGTGAAGGCACATGATGGGTTGTTGTTGTTGTGTACACACACACACACACACGGACATTGTGACCACTGTACTTGAATACCACTCATTGTACGATTGTTTGTCTCCTGTAGCATGTGACCATGGAGGACTCTTATCTGTGTGGTTACCTGAAGATCAAAGGCCTAACCGAGGTAAAGTGGAGCAGAACTGGGTCAGATACAGTGTACTTCTACCTTACCGCTCACATGGAATGAGAGATGGTGGTGTCATGGGTCTTTAAGCCCCTTTTGGGAACTTATCATGGCAGGGGTCAGTGTAAGCTAAGTGCAATGCAGCTCACCAGCCCCAATTTAAATGTACATACATACATCATACATTATGATGACAACATGCTAAACAACAAGCCAGAGCCATCTATTGACCAATTTGCAACACCAGTATGAAGGGCTATCTGTTACGTTGCAAAAGTGTAGGCTACAGATGTAGGTCTTGTCAGAGCACTGTATACCGTATTTGGACGTTTAGTCTTAAATTGATTGACTGACTGACTGCCTGCCTGACTGCCTCTAAGATGGTACAGACAGTCATAGAACAGGCCTGTGTGCTGCAGCTTTCTGCCTGCATTGTCTGTTTACAGCGAGGTCTACAATTCAGAGGGTGTGTGGTACAGAATGTGATTGCTGTGCACTTTCTCTCACTGGCAACACTAAATATCAGGGCCCTTCCTACTCTCCTCTCCTCATAAATTACACAGATCCCTTCTTCTCTCACCCTGCTGTTCACCTCTTCTCTTAGAGAATGAGTTGTGAGTGACTCAAAGGGAGTGCTCAGGGAAAGGGTGCACTTTGTTTACTTAACAAGGTGCTACCTACCACTGTTCTGGCACCTGGCACCTTTGCATAATGTTAAAGTGAGCTGGGTCGTATTCATTCGGACACACCGCAGCAAATTGTTTTGCAACGGAAAAAGAAAACACGTTGAGGTCGACCCTCCCCGTTTTAGTTTTTCAGTTCTCCTGTTTGTTGAATATGAATATGACCCTGCATTAAACAGGCATTGCTGTTCGTTATTGATGGCAGTCCTGTGTGTGACACGTCATTCATCACTGCAAAGGACATGTGTTCCAGCCAGGAACCCTTCCTAAAGGAACCTTGGTAACCATGACTGTAGAGTCAGATTATGGGAATAGTAAAAGTGGGAGCACAGCTAGATCCATGTATTCAGGTCTATAAACAGAAAAGCATTGGGAATATTTACCTACTTTGTTGGAGACAACCGTTATGATGTGTGTGACTGTAAGAAAGATTGAGTGTGCCGTGTATAACTAAAACCATCTCTTTTGTCAGTGAAAGTCCTTACGGAGAAGGAAACAGGGTTGTATTCTCTAGGAACAAAACCAAAGCAAACGGGGAGGGACTACCTGAACTTGTCCAATAAACTCTTGTTTTCATTGCAATACATTTTCCATTGCAAAAAGATTCTCTACAATAATCGAGAATTTCAACAAGCATTTTGCTACGGCTGGCCATGCTTTCCACCTGGCTACCACTACCCCGGCCACCAACTCTGCACCCTCCGCTGCAACTTGCCCATGCCCCCTCCGCTTCTCCTTCACACAAATTCAGACAGCTGATGTTCTGAAAGAGCTGCAAAATCTGGACCCCTACAAATCAGCTGGGCTAGACAATCTGGACCCTTTCTTTCTAAAACTAGCCGCCGAAATTGTCGAAACCCCTATTACTAGCCTGTTCAACCTCTCTTTCGTAACGTCTGAGATCCCCAGAGATTGGAAAGCTGCCGCGGTCATCCCCCTCTTCAAAGGGGGTGACACTCTAGATCCAAACTGTTACAGACCTATATCCATCCTGCCCTGCCTTTCGAAAGTATTTGAAAGCCAAGTTAACAAACAGATCACCGACCATTTCGAATCCCACCGTACCTTCTCCGCTATGCAATCCGGTTTCCGAGCTGGTCATGGGTGCACTTCAGCCACGCTCAAGGTCCTAAACGATATTATAACCGCGATCGATAATAGACAGTACTGTGCAGCCGTCTTCATCGACCTGGCTGCACCGCATTCTTATTGGCAGACTAAATAGCCTTGGTTTCTCAAATGACTGCCTCGCCTGGTTCACCAATTACTTCTCAGATAGAGTTCAATGTGTCAAATCGGAGGGCCTGTTGTCTGGACCTATGGCAGTCTCTATGGGGGTGCCACAGGGTTCAATTCTTGGGCCGACTCTTTTCTCCGTGTATATCAATGATGTCGCTCTTGCTGCTGGTGACTCTCAGATTCACCTCTACGCAGACGACACCATTTTGTATACATCTGGCCCTTCATTGGACACTGTGTTAACAAACCTCCAAACGAGCTTCAATGCCATACAACACTCCTTCAGTAGCCTCCAACTGCTCTTAAACACTAGTAAAACTAAATGCATGCTCTTCAATCGAACGCTGCTGGCACCCGCCCACCCGACTAGAATCACCACTCTCGACGGGTCTGACCTAGAGTATGTGGACAACTACAAATACCTAGGTGTCTGGTTAGACTGTAAACTCTCCTTCCAGACTCACATTAAGAATCTCCAATCCAAAGTTAAATCTAGAATCGGCTTCCTATTTCGCAACAAAGCCTCCTTCACTCATGCTGCCAAACATGCCCTCGTAAAACTGACTATCCTACCGATCCTTGACTTCGGCGATGTCATTTACAAAATAGCCTCCAACACTCTACTCAGCAAATTGGATGTAGTCTATCACAGTGCCATCCGTTTTGTCTCCAAAGCTCCATACACTACCCACCACTGTGACCTGTACGCTCTTGTTGGCTGGTCTTTACTACATGTTCGTCGTCAAACCCACTGGCTCCAGGCCATCTATAAATCACTGCTAGGCAAATCCCCGCCTTATCTTAGCTCATTGGTCACCATAGCAGCACCCACCCGTAGTCTGCGCTCCAGCAGGTATATCTCACTGATCATTCCCAAAGCCAACACCTCCTTTGGCCGCCATTCCTTCCAGTTATAATAATAATAATATGCCATTTAGCAGACGCTTTTATCCAAAGCGACTTACAGTCACGCGTGCATACATTTTTGTGTATGGGTGGTCCCGGGGATCGAACCCACTACCTTGGCGTTACAAGCGCCGTGCTCTACCAGTTGAGCTACAGAGGACCACCCAGTTCTCTGCTGCCAATGACTGGAACGAATTGCAAAAATATCTGAAGCTGGAGACTCTTATCTCCCTCACTAACTTTAAGCATCAGTTGTCAGAGCACCTTACCGATCACTGAACCTGTACACAGCCCATCTGAAATTAGCCCGCCCAACTACCTCATCCCTATATTGTTATTTATTTTGCTCTTTTGCACCCCAGTATCTCTATTTGCACATAATCTCTTGCACATCTAGCATTCCAGTGTTAATACTAATTGTAATTATTTTGCACTATAGCCTATTTATTGCCTTACCTCCATAACTTGCTACATTTGCACACACTGTATATATATTTTCAGTTGTATTTTTTGACTTTATGTTTTTTTACCCCATATGTAACTCTCTGTTGTTGTTTTTATCGCACTGCTTTGCTTTATCTTGGCCAGGTCGCAGTTGTAAATGAGAACTTGTTCTCAACTGGCTTACCTGGTTAAATAAAGGTGAAATAAAAATAAAATAAAAAATGGTGTTCACTAATGAACCCAGCTCTCACTCGCTCTTAATCTGCGTTTCTGGTGTTCACAGGAGTATCCCACTCACCATGTTCTGTTTCTGTTCCTTACAGGAGTATCCCACTCTCACCACGTTGTGTTTCTGATCCTCGCAGGAGTATCCCACTCTCACCACGTTCTGTTTCTGATCCTCGCAGGAGTATCCCACTCTCACCACGTTCTTCGCAGGAGAGATCATCAGTAGAAAGAGGCCCTTTTTAACCAGGAAGTGGGACGCCGACGAAGATGTGGACCGCAAGCACTGGGTATTCATTTGAAGCTCTCGATGTCTTTAATTTCATATTCCCATTGAAGCATAGTCATTTGTCTGTGTGGTGTTTTCTTCTTTTTAACAAACACTTCTTGGATGCAGGGTAATACTTCAGTTTTTAATTGTCTTTGAGAAAAAGTACAACTAAAACAACACATTTTTGTTTTGTTTCTTTCCAGGGGAAGTTTCAGGCTTTTTATCAGTACGCAAAGAGCTTCAACTTGGACGACTTCGATTATGAAGAGCTGAAGAACAGTGATTTTGTCTTTATGAGGTGGAAGGTGAGGCCAAAATCACCTGATGTTCCATTGATCGCTCGTTCTCTCTCCCTGTGTGAACTTTAACCTTTAACCCTTCCTCTGTGTCTCTACACTTGTTCTTACCTTAGTATGGATGGACGTTTTCTGATATTGCCTCTGGCCACACAGATGTATGAAAATGCATTTATATGTATGCATTTATCATTGTCTAGTTTTGTTCATCCAATTTTGGGGGGAGGCTCGATCTATATTTTTTGGGGAAAAAATCTGTCTGGCCGTAGCGTGCCACGTTTGTCCTTTCTAACATTTTACATTTTCGTAATTTAGCAGACACTCTTATCCAGAGCGACTTACAAATTGGTGCATTCACCTTATGATAGCCAGTGGGACAACCACTTGGGGGGGGGGGGGGGTGGGGTGGGGGGGGGGGGGGGGGGGGGGGTGGGGGGGGGGGGGGGGGTGGGGTGGGGGGGGGGGGGGGGTAGAAGGATTACTTTTATCCTATCCCAGGTATTCCTTAAAGAGGTGGGGTTTCAAGTGTCTCCGGAAGGTGGTGAGTGAGTCCGCTGTCCTGGCGTCGTGAGGAAGCTTGTTCCGCTGCTCTGGCACCCCAATGGTGAACAGTTTTGACTGGGCTGAGCGGGAACTGTGCTTCCGCAGAGGTAGGGGGGCCAGCAGGCCAGAGGTGGATGAACGCAATGCCCTCGTTTGGGTGTAGGGACTGATCAGAGCCTGAAGGTACGGAGGTGCAGTTCCCCTCACAGCTCCATAGGCAAGCACCATGGTCTTGTAGCAGATGTGGGCTTCAACTGGAAGCCAGTGGAGTGTGCGGAGGAGCGGGGTGACGTGAGAGAACTTGGGAAGGTTGAACACCAGACGGGCTGCAGCGTTCTGGATGAGTTGTAGGGGTTTAATGGCACAGGAAGGGAGCCCAGCCAACAGCGAGTTGCAGTAATCCAGACGGGAGATGACAAGTGCCTGAATTAGGACCTGTGCTGCTTCCTGTGTAAGGTAGGGTCGTACTCTGCGAATGTTGTAGAGCATGAACCTACAGGATCGGGTCACCGCTTTGATGTTAGCGGAGAATGACAGGGTGTTGTCCAGGGTCACGCCAAGGTTCTTTGAACTCTGGGAGGAGGACACAACGGAGTTGTCAACTGTGATGGCGAGATCATGGAGCGGGCAGTCCTTCCCCGGGAGGAAGAACATGGCCATATAGTGACTAGCGTTTGTTTCTTGTCCTCTCCCTTACAGGAGCAGTTCCTGGTCCCGGACCATACCATTAAAGACATCAGCGGGGCGTCCTTCGCTGGTTTCTACTATATCTGCTTCCAGAAGTCCACAGCCACCATCGAGGGCTACTACTACCACAGAAGCTCAGAATGGTACGTAGTCTGCGTCCCAAATGACACCCTATGGACCCTGGTCAAAGTAGTGCACTATATAGGGAATAGGGTGCCATTTGGGAGGCAAGCACACTGGAGTGTAAATATTTACCAGTTGTTGTTTTGCATGCTGATCTGAACATACAGGGATGTTGCTACTGGTTAGCTGCTTTGCTACTGGCTAGCTTGGTTAGCTGCTTGGCTACTGGTTAGCTGCTTGGCTACTGGCTAGCTGCTCGGCTACTGGCTAGCTTCTCATTCTTGGTCCCCTTGTTCTCTTCCAGGTACCAGTCGTTAAACCTCACCCACGTCCAGGAACACAGTATGCCCATCTACGAGTTCCGGTGATACCCTCCCCCTGGCATCGCTGGCAGAGCAGGGGACTTTGATTGGCACTGCCCTAGACACTCATGGAGGGGGAGATGAACTGACCAATCAAGCCAAGGATGTACCTACCAGTCGTCTCTGCCGAAAGGGAGAGAACGATGGAAAGACTAGATGGATGGAGGGAGGGATAGACAAAGAACAAGGCCACCGACCGACCGACAGACGTACAGTTCTTCCCAGCCTGCCTTTCTAGACTTTGCATCAGTTTGGATCAGCAGCACTGTTTTTGGTTTCTCTTCCCCGCTCTTTCTCCTTTCAGCATCTTGTTTTTGAAGCTACTTTTCCTCCTTTTCCTCCATGTTGAAAACACTCTCCCCTTTTCAGTTGGGGATCTAGAATCCTTGTTTGTTTCTTTATCCCCCCTCCGAAAATGGAGACTCCACCAATCACGAAGTGTTTTTTTTTTTTTTGCCTTGTGCTTCTGGGTTGGGTTCTCAGCTGTCTGGAAGATTTAAGCACAGTTTGATATTGCATTTTAAATTTGTCTCGATGAGTTGAGGCCTGATTTGAGATTGACCGAGCTACAGAGTGAGCAAGCGATCCTGAAAAGATAGATCTCCATAAGAAGGTCTTGAGGTGTGACGACATTAAGCGTGTGCTCAACAGAAGATTGATGGTCAATGATCTGCCATGATGCAAGATCTGACAGCTTAGTCGGATGACGTCTTGGTGAAGGTTGATATTTGAAGGCAGGGTATAATCAGATGTGTGTTGTGGGCTATTGAAACACATACAATACCATTTACATCATTTAGCAGACGCTCTTATCTAGAGCGACTTACAAATTACCACACCGATGGCTACTTCAAATCTGTCCTCTCTTTCTCTGAGATGGTGGAGCTGGCATCGTCCGACCTATAGAGGGAGTCACCATGTCCCAGTTCATATTGGCGGACATATTTCCAGGCTGCTACTGCTGCTTTTTGAAAAGCCTCTCCTACCGCTCCCTGCCTCAATCAAGTGAACTGATAAAACGCTTTACGCTTCACTCATTTTTCTATGCAAGTTACAAAAAAAAATCTTATCTGGCACTTACCTACTTTCAATTTCATTTTCAGAAAGGACTTTTAAAAAGTATTATGATGACGTACGTGTGATCACACAGCCACCAGAGTATTTATTGAAAATTAATATTGTTAATTTAAATGTGTATAGATATATAATAAAGAGTTGTTTTTATTCACCAGGCTTTTAAACTCTGATTTGACACAGCTATTTGAGTGTAATGCTCTGGTGTCTAGAGTTCTGTGTGGTGGCTCTGAAGTAGTGGTGGTGGAGAGGGTGTAGCACAGATTGCGCCTGGGCTGCGTTTAGACAGGCAGCCCAATTCAGATATTTTTTTCACTAATTGCTCTTTTGATCAATCACATCAGATCTTTCCACATCAGATCTTTTTCAGAGCTGATCTGATTGGTCAAAAGACAAATTTAGTGAAAAAAAAATATCAGAATTGGGCTGTCTGTCTAAACGCAGCCAATGAGTTGTCTGTGTGGTGGCTCTGTGAAGCTGGAAGAATGCTAACGCTAGAGCGCTACAAATCAAAGTTTGTGCAGTGTACTAAATGCCACGGTACAGACCGAGAGATGGAGCTAGTATAGAGTTTTGGCTGGAGGAAAAAAGGATGTAAGGCGTAGAAATACAATGATTAGAATGGACACATGTAAGTATTTCGTAAGACGTTGATGACCCAACTAGATATGGGTTTTGCGTTGGTACTGTAACAGTATGCTGCGTTACGACCTGACACATCACATCAACGCATGTACAGTATTGCAGACAGTCAACGATTCCTTTTAACAAGGTCGCCCATTCTGTTATTTTTATTTCTACGTTTCTGATGTATTGAATGTAGCAGGGAGCTGTCTCCTCTGCATTCTTTACTTAGCCCCTAATTATACCAACGCACAACCAGTGTGACTCATCTCGCCCGTAACATTTTGATGTCTTTTCCATTCACGAAAAGAAGACCTTCGGAATGAGATAGTGGTGGTTGTTAAAAAACCTTGATGACGTGTGAAGATGTTTTTTGGGACAAGAACAACCCTCGTCAAAGCTTTGGAAAAAACCTTCTGCCTTAAATGTAAGATGTTTGTACAGAGCACCGTTTTATATCAACATTGGAGTTGAATCGTAAGAGTGTGAATTGTTAAAGCATGTTGTCATTTGTGCAATTTCAAAAGACCTTTGAACTCCAGTGAGTCTCCTGGGTCATGGTCATTAGACACCAAATGGGAGAAAACAGACTGAAACGCTAAGGGACTACCTGGACTTGTCCAATAAGAGCCACTTGTTTTCAATTTCTGTTAAATGTTTTATAACATTTCACTATGGTGTGAGCTAATGAATATGACCCTGAATTGGGTGACATCACATGACAGGTGTCAACCAGGAAGTGAAATTACTTAGCCTACCTCATTGGTCAGTTTAATGTTGCTGAGCCAGCATAAATAACATTACTACACTAAAAAGCTGGTTTGGATAATAAGAATGGCAAGTGGATAAGATTTGATAGGAATATGCTATATAGGAATGTCCTCAAAGACATTGAGAAGTCTACTTTCAAGACATTAAAAAGGCTGCTTTCAAGACATTGCTCTACGGATGTTTCTTCTCACAAATTACATCTGATTTCAAAATGTGTTAGGAGTTGCTGTCTGGACTGCACTATAAACTGAGTTGTGTTTCTGTGTCCATGCTCCAGCTCCATTCTCCAGGTATCAAAGAGTGTGACAGACTGTAAAATAATAAACATTATTTCCTTTGTAAATGATTGAGCTACAAGAATGGACACAATAATCTAGTTGAAAGTGCAAATTAAGCTTTGATTGATAAGTTACAAGTGTCTGTTGAGTTTGAATTTAAATTCTAAGACCTGAGTCAATAAATGCATTGGATTGTATGATACAGGAGGAAGAGTTGGTGTGTTGTTCACTATGGTGGCTGTTTTTACTGGTGTTTGAAACGGTCTTTGAAAGCATGGCACCTCTACATAGATATTTTATGAGAACGTTTATGGATGGAGCTAATTGAAAGAATGAGGTTCCATCAACATTGCAATAAAACTAATCCCAAGAAACCATATTTTCTTCTGTGGGTGTTTCTGTCATTATGTTTATTATAGTTTTCCATTATTTTGTGATGGATTGGGTGTTTGTTTCTAATACTTCTGAGTGATAGTTCAGGACCATAGACTTAACTGTCCAGTGTTTCCAGATTTCTATGAAATATGACAATTACTTACAATAGGTATGTTTCCATCCAATTGGTGACAGATTTTCATGCGAATATTCGCATGAAAATATACAGTGCCTTCGGAAAGTATTCAGACCCCTTGATTTTTTCCACATTTTGTTACGTTACAGCCTTGTTCTAAAATGGATTCTCTAAAAAAATTAATTCTCAGCAATCTACACACAATACCCCATAATGACAAAGTGAAAACAGGTTTTTAGAATTTTTTGCAAATGTATTAAAAATAAAAGACACTTTATTTACATAAGTATTCAGACCCTTTGCTATGAGACTCAAAATTTAGCTCAGGTGCATCCTGTTTCCATTTATCCTTCTTAAGATGTTTCTACAACTTGATTGGAGTCCACCTGTGGTAAATTAAATTGATTGGACATGATTTGGAAAGGCACACACACCTGTCTATATAAAGGTCCCACGGTTGACAGTGCGTAGTAGAGCAAAAACCAAGCCATGAGGTCGAAGGAATTGTCCGTAGAGCTCCGAGACAGGATTGTTTCGAGGCACAGATCTGGAGAAGGGCACCACAACATTTCTGCAGCATTGAAGGTCCCCAAGAACAAGGTGGCCTCCATCATTCTTAAAATGGAAGAAGTTTGGAACCACCAAGACTCTTGCTAGAGCTGGCCGCCTGGACAAACTGAGCAATCAGGGGAAAAGGGCCTTGGTCAGGGAGCTGACTAAGAACCCGATGGTCACTCTGACAGAGTTCCTCTGTGGAGACGGAAGAACCTTCCAGAAGGACAACCATCTCTGCAGCACTCCACCAATCAGGCCTTTACGGTAGAGTGGCCAGACGGAAGCCACTCCTCAGTAAAAGGCACATGACAGCCCGCTTAGAGTTTGCCAAAAGGCACCTAAAGACTCTCAGACCATGAGAAACAAGATTCTCTGGTCTGATGAAACCAAGATTGAACTCTTTGGCCTGAATGCCAAGCGTCACGTCTGGAGGAAACCTGGCACCATCCCTACGGTGAAGCATGGTGGTGGCATCATGCTGTGGGGATGTTTTTCAGCGGCAGGGACTGGGAGACTAGTCAGGATCGAGGCAAAGATGAATGGCGCAAAGTACAGAGAGATCCTTGATGAAAACCTGCTCCAGAGCGCTCAGGACCTCAGACTGGGGCGAAGGTTCACCTTCCAACAGGACAATGACCTTAAGCACACAGCCAAGACAACGCTGGAGTGGCTTTGGGACAAGTCTTTGAATGTCCTTGCGTGGCCCAGCCAGAGCCCGGACTTGAACCCGATCGAACATCTCTGGGGAGACCTGAAAATAGCTGTGCAGCAATGCTCCCCATCCAACCTGACAGAGCTTGAGAGGATCTGCAGAGAAGAATGGGAGAAACTCCCCAAATACAGGTGTTTTCAAGTTTGTAGTGTCATACCCAAGAAAGACTCAATACTGTAATCACTGCCAAAGGTGCTTCAACAAAGTACTGAGTAAAGGGTCTGAGTACTTATGTACATGTGATATTTCAGTTATTTATTTTTAATAAATTAGCAGAACTTTCAAAAAACCTGTTTTTGCTTTGTCATTATGGGGTATTGTGTGTAGATTGGGGGGGGGGGACAATTTATTCAATGTTAGAATAAGGCTTTAACGTAACAAAATGTGGACAAAGTCAAGGGGTCAGAATACTTTCCGAAGGCACTGTATTTCCTGATCGTTCTTATATCTCCTAGATATACAGTGGGGGAAAAAGGTATTG